TGCGTCTTCCAATAGAGATAGAAAAATTGAGAACACCAGTATGAGATCTATATACGAAACATGGTGGAATGAGTCGCCAAAAAACAAGAGACCGCCTATGTGTGGGGGGTATCTATATTGCCAGGTGTCTGTCAGAGCAAAATCAGTGAACAAACGGGGCTAAGGCTTGTCGTCGTCAAGGCAGGGGGGTCTGTCGTGGAGTGTAGTCGGTCCAGAGTAGGATTCAAAACCATATTGAAGTCACCGAGCCATATAGCAGGTACCGTTGGGTGTTGAGCCACGAAGAGAAAACCCTCACTGATCACTGCAAAGTTGTAGGGGGGTGGAATATAACAAGCCAGGAATAAATAGGGATGACCATACAACGTTACATGCATGAAAATTTATCTGACGAGGGGGTCACTGTTAAGTGACATCAATTCAAATTGCACTGTTTTAGTCACCATCACAGACACTCCACTTGAATACTGAGTGTGCATTGCATGGTAGGCCCAGCCTATCCATAGGCACTTTAAAGCCAGTTGAAGCTGGCCTGTGACATGCGTTTCGACTAGCACTACTATGTCTGCCCGGTGAACTTTAAGGAGTTGAATATGGTTGATTGCTTGAGTTTATCACGGATCTCGTGGACATTTTAATGTAAGAAACTTCACCGGAGGCATGAGGTTTTGTGTAGCATTGATCCACCGGTGGCCGGTAGCAGAACCCCCATGGCTGAAACATTTTGAGGAACATCCTCAGCATAGAGAGGTATAAATAGTGAAAATGCATGACATATTACAATGTACCAACAGTTCTGATAAATGCAGACTATAACAAACATAAGGACAAACCTTAATGTTTCCCCTGAAGGCGCCGTTTGCCATCCATGAAGCGGGACTGTTGCCTTTGAATCTCAGCCGAGATGTCAGGGAACACCGATATTCTCATATTGTGGTAGGGGATGTTGCCTCTCTCTCTATTCAGCCGTAGTACAGTGTCTCAGTCCCTAAAATTAAGTTGTGCAGTGAAGGTTCGAGGAGGCGCTCCCTCTGGGGGCTGGCAGGCTGGCATGCGATGCACCCGTTCTACTACCAAGGTGAACGAGAAGGCCTCCCTGACAAAAGTAATAATGAGCAGATTTTCCAAGAACATGGCCGGGTCCCTGCCTCTGTGCCCTCCGGGAGGCCAATAAAGCGGGGGTTATATCATCGGGACTGGTTCTCCAGGTCGTCCTGTTCCTGGGCTACCTGTTGTAGCTGACTCTCTGCGGCCTCAGAAGTGTGCTGTAAAGTGTGGGGAGAGTGTCCTCCGCTTGACTGATACTGGCCTCAGTCTCAGTGACCCGGTCGCAGAGTTTGTGCATGTCTTGGGTATCAGAGATATATCTAACTTCACCTCCTCTATTTTTGTCATTAGTGTTGCCTGGCACAAGGATATAGCCTCAAGCACTTTTGCCGTCCGAGGCAGGTGGGGCGCCATCTTCCTCCGGATGGCCCCGTTCTTGTCTCCGAAACTTGTCTAAAGAGGGTGTAGCAGAGGCAGCCTTACGAGGGGGAGACATTATATGAAATGAGTACAAGGCTCCAGGTAAGTTCAAGAGAGTACTAAAGCAACAAAAAACGCTCAGGATATCGTGTCGGGAACGGAGCTCAGCACCCACGCATCCTACTCCATCTTTGTCTAGGCCACGCCCCCCTCCTGAGAGCGTTTTACCAGTCAGGAAGTAAGGGGAACTTTCCAACAAACTAAAATAAAATTCTTCTTTTAAAGTACAGTAGGGGACGGCTAGAACCCTAAAAGAGTTATATTTGTGTTCCTATTGTAGATTTTTTTTCCTCAAGATAACTCCTCCATAATGGAGCCCTGCATAGCAGAAAAGTGTGACAGGAGTTCTATTCCTTGTGCACTCTATTTTAAACTGGGGGAAAAAAAAAAGGTTTTGGAATTATATAAATTTTAATTGTACTTTAATATTATTGTAAAGGGTGCTTTTTTTTTTTTTTTCTTCAAGATAACGAGCCTGTCATACTCATCCTCTTTACGGTCCCCCACTGGCACTTCTGGCTCCTCCTCCTTTTTGGTATGCCACCTTAGGAAGTCTCTTCCTATTGTGCCACACCTGCGGGCTTGATCCCGAGCTGTGCTGCCTATGCCTGTAGACACAGACAGCTTGACTCGGCTTGGCCTCCTGCTACCTCATCAAAGGATTTGATTGACAGCAGCAGGAGCCGATGCCTCCCGCTGTTGCCTCTATATCCTGTGAGGTGGGATAGAGCAGAGAGAGCTGCTGCTGGGTTGGGCGGTCAGTCATGGTGTCTGGGGAGAAGATGCACACACAGACTTTGCATCCTTCTCCAGCTCCCCCTGATGGCAGCCCTGCCTGGATCACAGTCGCCCCCACATTATTTCCACTCCCCAAATGCAAGCAGGTGAGTGGAAATTTTGAGGCCTTGGTTAATGCATCCTGATTGTTAAAACTGTAGCACATACAGAATCAAAAAAAAAAAACACTATGATGGCTATTCATACAAATGATAACATTCTATCGTGTTTATAAGGCCCGATTCATAAATGAGAATTTTCGAATTTCAAGCTTTAAAACACTCAACATTCAAAATATCTTTGTTTTCTCTGCCTTTTGTCAAAAATCCCTTATTTCTTATAATGCGCAAAGTATATATCCAACATTTAAGCTTCACGAATCTTGTCTCCAAATATCACCCAAACCATACTCTCCGCTTCTTTCACGACCTCCTGCTCTCTAGCTCCCTTGTCTCCTCCTCCAGTTCTCATCTCCAGAGCTTCCCCCATCCTCTGGAACTCTTTACCCCAATTTATCAGACTATTGCCTACTCTGCTTACTTTTAGGTAATCTCCTGAAATTGCCCTCCTGTCAGTGATCCCTGGGTCCTTCTCTAGTATCAAGAAGGGAATCTTGCAGCATTGCCTGCTGGCCGCCTGTGTCACCATCTCTAGGCATTGGAAGTCCACAGTCCATCCTCATATTCCCAGTGGGCCCAGATACTCAATGACATAATGGCAATGGAAACTCTGGTGGTGGAAGATGGCACAGATCCTGAGTCAACCCATACTACTTGGACTTGCTGGAGGGCCTAAAGCGATTCTGACAACGTCTGGGCACTAGTTTCTCAGTGAGTTAGATATTCCTACCTTCCTTAACCCTGCTTGTTTATTTTTGGGCGCTTTCGGGAACTGGGTCTGGGAAATGGACCCTCCCTAGGTACTCTCAATGCAGGTCCTTTCCTCCTGAGGTTTCTCTTTTTTTCTACTTTTCTACCATATGTTTTACTAGCTGGTTGTACTATGCTAATGAGTTGTCCATTTCTGACAGCAGCTTAGCTTTTTCTTATGTTTTTGTTGTGCCTCACCTATTAGTGATCGTGGTTACTATATTATTACTGATACGATCATGTGTTTTCTGTACCTCTCCTCGCGGGTACATTTGAATTTTCCACTGTTTCTCATGCCTGTTTTTTTTTCTCCCTGGAATTTAGCTGGATAATATTGTAACATTCTACACGATTTTATGATATGGAATGTTACTTGATTTCTTGTAAAATTAGAATATTTTTTTCTGAATAAACAGTTATTTGACAAAAAAAAAAATCTCATGGTTTTCAAAAAAAGGCACATGAGCTACAAGCTTCAAATATGTTTTTTTGCCCCAATAGACTTCAGTGAGAATACGTCAAAATCACATTTTTTTTTCTCCTAGTAACTAGCTTTCTGTTGGATAAAAAAAAAAAAAATCCTTAGGCACTTGCAAACAGTCCTCTACAAAAGCTTAAAAAAGCCTGTAAAACAACAAAATGTCCTCCGCTCAAGCAATGATGTTGAACTCCTATCGCCTGATGCCCAGGACATACAGTTCCGGGCAAGAATTGTTTTTTTTTTTTTTCCCCCACATTTAGCCCTGCTGCGGGCAAGAGTTTAGAGGCTGTCCCCATCGACTAACCGGTGCTTCCGCCAGCTGATAACGGAGGCGGCAGTGGCAGAAACCGCTGCAGAGCATGCTAGGGACAGATCGGTACCTCCTCCCTCAGCAGAGATCACGCGGCTCCCCAGTGTCCTACTCATCCCCATCCCCGAGGTGGAGCCTGCTACGAGGCTCGCAGTGATTGGGCGGGACTCGAGGAGGGGGGTGTGGCTGGCCTGTGTAGCAGCTACTGAGTGGAGAGAGAGCGATTAGGAAGCACATGCTAACACTTTCATTGCTAGAAGATGGTGAGTGGACATGGTTAACCCTTTCTTTGCATTGCAGATGGGATCCCAGTTGGAAGTGCATGATTAACCCTTTCAGATCTGTGTTGGAAGTGTGTGATTAACCATTTCATTGCTAGCAGATCCCCGGTGGAAATATGCATTTCCATTAGGAATCGGTTAGTAGTGAAATCATTAAGCTTTCCTTGCTAGAAGATCCCTGGTAACTGGACTTGATTAACCAAGTGGCAGAACTTCCGGGGTCTCAAAGGTCACACTTGCGACCGTGCCCTGGGGTTCTGCCACCTTCGGAGGGCCCCAAGGTGACTGGAAAGGGCCTGCTCCGGGAGCATAATAAAGTTCTTGGGATCAGTGGGCAGGGTCCTGGGACCAATGAAAAGGACTCCAGGGGCCCTACATGGTTTCCTGCAATGGGGCCCTGAAGGTTCTAGCTACACCTTTCAGCTTTCAGTGCTGTCACACTTTGAATGACAATTGCGCGGGCATGCGACCCATATGAAATTTTTATCAGTTTTTTGAAACGGCGCTTTCTTTTGGCGGCATTTAAGCACCTCTGGATTTTTTATTTTTTGCTAAACACACCAAAAACCACTGAAAATTTAAAAAAAAAAAACAAAAACAAAACTTTTTTCTTAGTTTTTGTTATAAAATTTTGTAAATAAGTGACTTTTCTCCTTCACTGATGTGCGCTAATGAGGCTGCAGTGATGGGCACTGATAGGCTGCACTGATGGACACTGATAGGTGGCACTGATGAGGAGGCACTGGTAGGTGGCACTGATGGGCATTGACAGGCATCACTGATGGGCACTGAAAGGCAGCACTCATATATGGCATTGACTGGCGGCACTGATAGGTGGCACTGAAAGGCAACTCAGATGGGCACTGATATGTGGCATTGATGAGGCACTGATGGGCACTGGCAGGTGGCATTGATGAGCACTGACAGCTGGCACTGATGGACACTGACAGGTGACACTGCTGGGCTACACTGATCATCAGTGCACATGTTCCCTCTGAGGAATGCCGATTACCGGCTCTCCTCTCGAGATGTCAGCGTGACAGCTCGTGAGGAGAGAAATGCCGATGATCGGCATTTCCCTATTTACATGCAATCAGCTGTGATTGGACACAGCTGATCACATGACCGAGCCAACATCTTCGGCTCTTTCCATTGATCGGTGATCCGCTGTGTCCGAGGGACACAGCGCGCCACAGATTGACGCGCTGCGTGCCTAGAATGGGAGGACGCCATATGACGTCCTCCCAGAACGAGAGAACTGCCTTGCACTCGTCATTACCTTATATGGCGGGCGGGAGGCGGTTAATCCCAGATCTCTCCATAAAGAGTATCTCTCACTGCCTATTGCTGTCAAAAGGGATGTGTACATTCCTTGTGACAGCACTAAAAGTGATTTAAAAAAAAATTAAAGCAGTGTAAAAAATAAAAAATGTTTTTTTTTTTTTTTTAAAGCATCCCCCAATCCCCTGTGCTCACGCACACGGCAGTCCCACTCATGCAAGGTATCAACACAAACCTCAGATCATGGACAGTAATTCTAGTACCAGAACGCCCCTGTAAATTTTTAAAGCGTGACATGTTTGGTATTTCTTTACTCGGCCTAACATCATCTTTCTCAGAAAATCGACTTACATATTGTGTTTTTTTTTGCATTCAAAGTAAAAAAAAAAGTGTAATTTTTTTTTCTCAAATGTAATCTCTAGGGCCTCTGCTTTGAAAAAATACAAAATGTGTGGGGATTCTTAGAAATTTTCTAGCAAGGAATAAAAAACATTAAAAGTTTAAGTCTCCATAAAGCCCCTTTCATTTTTAAATGCACTGTTGCCTAATAAACAGCAACCCTTCATATTTTCCATTGCAATTTAGTCCTTGGACAAGTTTTTTTTTTTTTTTTTTAATTTCCACATCACTCTCAAGTGTGATTGCAGTCCTAAATACTTCTCAGCTAAAAGCAGCAACAAATGTAAAAGGCTGAAAGATTGCAGGAAAGTTGTAGTAATAGTGACTAAAACGGACCTAATATCAGATTACTATTCTGAAAAAAAAATAAATTTAATAAATAATCCTGGTTAAGATGATTACAAGTGTTGAGAAGCCAATGCTTTTCATTTTTTTTCCAAAGATCCCTATGATTAAGTCAGGTATGACAAAACATGTCAGGGTGTGACGGTGCGGCAGACCGGTAGTGACGCAGATACGCAACCGAAGTGACGAGACGGCGTTCTGTCTGGCAGATCCGGAGGTGGTGAGAGCACCTGCGATATCTGTCTCACTGAAAGGCTATTTTAAATAAGGCTTAACTATTTTTTGGAATGTTGTAAGTGCAATATTTTGGCTTATTAAAGTTGTTTACCTTTGGTAATACACGATTATAGTGAATTTCTTCCTCTTTCTATGTAACTATGGAGAGGAATATATATTATGATCCTTGCTACCATTCTTATCATGGGTGATTATTGGAGGAACCTCCCGCTCTTAACAATTTGGAGTCTGTATAAAGTGGAAAAAAAGGCTGTGTTCTGATGATCCTGATTTCTGGAATTTATGCAATAAGGCTCATTAAAGGCTATGTTCTGGTGAGTGCACACCAAAGAGGGGGTGTATGAAAGGCACAGCACGTGGTTTATTTATTTCTACACTAGGCAACACAGAGGATTTACATTGTGGAAGATTTTTTTGGACTTTTTTTGGAATTCATTATTAATTACACTGGACTTATATTTTACAGTGTTTTGTGGGCACTATTATATCATATATAATGTGTTTATTTTTATGTTATATATGTCACATAATATTTGTGTAAATGAGTTTGCACATAGAGACCATCAAAAGGAATTAATGTGACACATATAATGCGGCGCTAATTATCACCAATATTAGGAGTGGTATTTTTTGGAATAAGTTTTACATAGTATTTAAAGTGGCAGCTGATTTGGATGTAATATTGAATATTTAAAAGCATCAATTGGCGCAGGTTTAGTGATTAAAATACTCTTAAGAATCACTCTATAAAATAAATGTTTTCACTTTGACTATTTCTACAGATTCCATATTCACCCTGCTGAAAGCAGCACCAAATATAAAAGTGTTGCAGAAAGTAATAGTTTCCCTTTATTTATAGAATAGCAGATTAATCGCATAGAGAAAAAGAAACGCAATGTTCATAACCAATATATTTCTAAACAGTTCAGTGTGTTTAAGTAAGTCATGCCTAATAAAACGACTCTCAGATCATCTTTTGTTTTGCCTGCTATTAAAGCAGGGTGGAGCTCCACAACATTTATCATCCTAAATAGTCTTCAACAAAGTTATTTTTCTTATATAAAGAATATTCATAATTTTTTTTTTTTTTTTTTTTTAGAAAGAGGCACTTTTGATTTAAAAGTCTGTGTTTTGACTATGTTTTAAAATTTGTGCAAAATTTGACATGCTTGATATTCTTGTAATCAAGACATGGGTGTGTACATATCTGTTTGTTTCACCTCTCTCTGTCTGTAGATGGCCATACACTGTGAATTTGCTTTTTTGGTGGTCCTGTTGGTACCCTCCTGTCTGAAATACAAAAGAAATATTGAAGGAGCCAGGTGGAAAATTGTTGACCAGGCAGCAGCTGCATCCAATCCAAATACCAATAATATTGAAATTTTTTTTTTTCAGTGTTGCATTAAAAAGAAAATGCACAAGTTGAAAAAAAATTTTTTTTTAAATGTCCGTTAAGGGACATAGGTATTTAGAAGCATAGGGTTAGGTAGCTGTCTACAGGAGATTCGGCACAAACATTGCTGAAAGCCAGCCCAGCATAACTTCTCCCCCTGCCAGCAGTGCAAGTGTCCTTAGGAGAAAAGATGTCTTTTGTCTGCTCTAAAAAAAAAAAAAATTAAAAATAAAAGCAAAGAAATGTTTTTATAGCTTTTATCAAACATTTTTTTTTTCTACTACAAGATACTGCAGATGATGCAGAGCCACTGAGCACATTTTGCAGCTTTCCAGATCTGCTCATTTTTGGCATAGTCTTGGAGGCCCTCCCCTGACTCCGCTGTGAAGAAAAACAGGGTCGGCCTGTAATATGCCCATGGACTGTGTTAGATAATCTCCTAGGCACCCTTGGTGCAGTGTGTTAGCCACAGAGTGCCCTACAAGTCCAGAGCCCATCTGCTCTGCCCTGTACCTTCTAAAAGACTTGATGCTCAAGAACACAGATCATTATCCCTTGTCTAAGCCACAACACTCCTGAGAGTCCTCTTTAACTGTTTCAGAGGTGGCTCTCAACTCCATCCTCTCTCCTATCCATAGAGCAATTTACTGCTTTAAAACCACTCATTGCCAGGACATTTTAGACACCTAGGCCTCCAGAATGTGACATTCAGAGGCTACAAGCTAAAATTTCAAACTCTGCCTCTCCCCCTCCTCATGTCTAACCTGCCAATTTCCTCATAAAGACAGACAAACCTCTGCTGCTGTGGCAGAAAATAATATTTTTTTTACTACTTTTACAACGCACAACGGGGGCCACTCACCCCATTCTAGATTTGAAGGTCCTCCAAAACACAAAACACAAAAACACATTTTATTTCATTTTCCGAAAAATGGACAAAAATTACAACTTCAAAATACTCACCATGCCTCTTACTAAATACTTCAAACTTTCTACTTTCCAAAAATGGGTGATTTGGGGGTATTTGTACTGTCCTGGCATTTTAAGACCTCAAGAAATGAGATCTTGAGGCAGTCAGTACATCAGGATTGATCAATTTTCACATAAATATACCATGGCTGTAGACGCTATAACGTTCCTACAGATAATAATATACACTAATTTTAGTTATTTTTAACAAAGAAATATAGCAGAATACATGTTGGCCTAAATTTATGAAGAAAAATTTAGTTGCAAAATTTTATAACAGAAACTAAGAAAAATGTTTGTTTTTCACACTTTTTTACACACACTCGCCAATGGTGATTATCATGAAAAGAAAACTGAAAGAGTTTTTTTCTCTCAGATTTCCCATGTATTTTTCATTTTATGTAGGATTTTAAAGAAACCTGCTTTAATGCAGTTGTAAACTGATATACACAGTGAAGTGACTGGCCTCAGATGATATACAGAGATGAAACAAATCCTCCTACTTAAGTTTTACCAGATTATCTGCAAAAGTTTGGTCTCTACATCCTTTGAAAGTGCAGAATATTCACAGTCTCAGTTCTGAAAAGCAGAGGTGGGGAGCTGAAGTTACACTCTGCAGAGCACAGTGAGAGGAACCCTGAGCCCTTTTTTAGAGTGAAGCCCCCCCCCCCCCCCCCTCACACTGCAAACAGTGGCATTGAGGCCGTCAATCACAGGCTGTGTTTTAAAGCCCCCTCCTCTTTTTACCTTTTTCTCTCTTGGTGCCAGGAAAACCTGTCAGAAGTGACTCCTGAAGATAGCAGAGGAACAAGGCAGCAGAGGGAAATTAAACTTAAAGTGGTTGTGAAGGCTAAAAGTTTTTTTACCTTCATGCATTCTATGCATGAAGGTACAAAACATTCAGTATGCAGCTCTCTCCCCAGCCCTCCCAATACTTACCACGGCTCTCTAGGGTCTCTCCATAGTCTCACCCTCCTCATTGGCTGAGACACAGCTGCGAGAGCTATGGGCTTCTGCTGCTGTCAGTCACACCCAGTGAGGAGGAAATGGAGGGTAGTGCCAAGCCGTGGTCTGTATGTCTCTTATAGACGCACACAACGGGGCTTGGAAGCGAGCACACACGATTACCCCCAGAGCAAGCAGCTTTCTCTGGGGGCACTCAGCAGAGGGGAAGAGCCAGGAGCACTGGTGTTGGACCCTAGAAGAGGAGAATCGGGACTGCTCGTGGCTTGTCTATAATGCTCTGGATTGAGACAAGTACACACCATAGGGGGATATGCTTTATTCATATAACATGCAGACAGTAACATACAGACTAAGTGTCGGTTCACACTGATGCGGTGTGGAATTCGCAGCGATTCCTGTGCATTTCCCTCACTGCATCTCAATCGCACTCCATTCATGTGAACCACTGCTGGTGCCTGTTACGTTAACACTCCAAAAATGGTTCGCAAGATGCAGTGCAATTGGCTGAATCAGATTGCGTGGGTGTGAACACCCATGCGATCTGATTCCAGTACGGGGAAAGAAAAAAAAAGATGCCTGCACCTTTCATGAGGGTGCAGTGTGATTTGTGGTGCAATTTAACCCATACAAAATGGCTCAAATCACACTGCAAAGAATCGCATGTGATTTGAACAGGAATGCGTTGCAATTCCTGTCCGAATCACATGTTGTTTCCTGCACCACAATAGTGTGAGCTGTGACTTGGGGTGACCATTCATCTCACTATGAATGCAAACTGTATTCCTCCCTTGTATACATGGCTGTATAGGGGCAGACCCTGATATCTGGGATCTTTGTATGCTGTGATAACCACACAAAGGCAAAGTGGCCTTGTGGTATATTTTTGACATTCAATCCAAATAGCAGCTGTACTATTTTTCTGTATAATAATATATTTTGTAATCTTACAGTGTTCACCTTTTAGTGACAAAAAAAATCCATCTATATTGCAGATTTAACTGTATAGTAAATGAGCCTTACTTTCAAAACTGTTTCTTCTGTGGGCTCCCCCTCTCGTCCTACCTGGATGGTAGGAGATACCGACCATTGGAAGCACGGCCCCAGCACCTCACAAACAAGCACTTGGTTATGAGAACTCAACTTGCCTAAACCCACATATGCAGTCCACATTCGCACAGCAGTAGCTCAGGAGTTCAGTGTTCTGCGAGTGGAAAAGAGAGCATACTAGGGAGCCCACAAATGAAGCAGTTTCAAAATAGGGATAATTTTAAAAAATGGAGGACAGCATTTTAATGTATAGTGAAAGCTGTAATAAATATGGAATGTGTTTTAAAAAGATCATTAAACGTAAACAAACTTTTAAAACATTTTTATAATCCACTTATTAATAATAAGGATTGAGTGACGTATTTTAACATTTTGTATGCTGTTTCGTTATAGGTATTTGGAAAAGTATGAGAAGGTTCATCATTTTGGAGAAGACGATGATGAGGTCCAACCTGGTAATCCAAAACCGCAGCTCCCCATTGGTGCAATACCATGTACTTACAACTACCAGCAGCATATTGTACCAGGTGAAAAATCTGATCTATTTATTATTTATTTATTTCAGGTACTTATATAGCGCTGTCAATTTACGCAGAGCTTTACATATATATATAGTACGTTCACATCAGTCCCTAACCCTCAAGGGGTGTACAATCTAAGGTCCCTAACTTACATTCATACATACACATATTAGGGCCAATTCACCTACCGGCATGTCTTTGGAGTGTGGGAGGAAACCAGAGTACCCAGAGGAAACCCATGCAGGCACAGGGAGAACATGCAAACTCCAGGCAGGTGGTGCCGTGGTTCTATGAGCAGTATGCTTACACAGTAAAAAATAAATCTTCAGCTTTATAGCTTGGTGGTTTGCAAAAGCATACACGTCTGATTAGTGATGCATTTTACTGCTATTGTCATTGCAAATTAGAATTCTTCCCTGTTAGAAGATTTCTCTCTATTCCTTTTCTGGTGACAACTTTTTCTGGTGAAGTTTGAATTTTTCCCTCTGTTAGTCCCCATGGCAGTGGTCATCAGGACAAAGAGAAAGTGGATCTTCCAGAAGGGACGTAGGCAGCTATAACAAGCTACATTCTAATGGTCACCTGATTGTATGACAACAGTTATTGTGTTTTTTCTTTCCATTTTTTTTTATGAAATTTTTTTTTCATTACAGATTATTTACGACAAAGTTATGGGCTTACCATGGACTTCAACACACCAAATGATTACAACAAACTGGTGCTTTCACTGTTATCTGGACTCCCTAATGAAGTGGACTTTGCAATTAATGTTTGCACACTTCTCTCTAATGAAAGCAAGCATGTAATGCAGCTTGAAAAGGACCCAAAAATTATCACCTTGTTGCTTGCAAATGCTGGTGTATTTGATGACAGTAAGTACAAGTGCCTGTTTTGGCTTAGTGGAGTTTATTTTGACTTTGTTTAACCTCTTGTTGACCGCGTAATATATATATAATATATATATAGCGGCATGAAAGGTGGCCTTTAACACCCAGCTGTTGCACGTGTGCTTCCACAGCGGCAAGAGATTATGTACTGAGAGCGTGCTCACTGACCATGCTATCACCTACAGTTGTTGGTCAAGGCCTGATTGGGAGCCAGTGTGACAGGCTAAAGAGCATGTGATCACTGTGAGAGCCATCAAATCAGTCACCTGATACAGTAGCTGCTCTGCCTCTCAGGCATTAAAGCCCACTTAAAGGGCCACCAGGTGGCAGTAGTACAGAGTTAAAGGAATGCCTGCCAGCAAGATGCCTGAAATTATTAGGTGTAATGGTGCCTGGTGAGAAACAGCTGCTCTTTTTCAGGCGATTTAGTGAAGCACTGGTCTGTTAGCTAGCTCTGGTCTGTGAAGAAGAACTTATCTATTTAAAATGTAGGTGTTTAAGTTTTTTCATGCACATGGAGGTAATTAACTTTTGTAAAAGTTCACCTAAAATCAACTGCTTTCCTTTATTCCATTAAAAACATGTGAATTTTAGAGTACGAATACCCACATGTTCGCTGGAGTGGTTGAACCTGTAGAGCATCAGGCAACTGGTGCCTCTGGAAATCTCATTCTGAACTCCTTTTTCTGATCCTTTGTAAGAATGGCATCTGCTTCTGTTACTTCAATGTTAGAGGCAGGTCATCCTAGCACACAGGTATTTCAGGCATCTAAAATTTATATTCTTTTATTGAAAGAGAAAAAGGAACTGGGGTCCTAAAATCAATTCAGGTCTGCCTCTAGCCTCTTCGGAGAAGCTGAAAGAAACTTTCAGTATTATTTCAGTGTAGATAACTTTGTCTCTGCTTCTGGAAGCATTTTCCAGGCAGATACAACTAACTATGGTGCTGCCTTTCCTCTGTTACACGTTCCAAAAAAACAGAAAAGAGCCTTTGCAGTGGCTCCTCTGGCTCTGGTATTTTCAGGGCTCCAGTACCTGCCAGTTTTCATCTCCATAGATATTTGTGTTTTATGAATTTCTTGCAATTTACCCTCCAGCTGTTCCTCAGCTAAAAAACGTGGACCTTTAGAGATCTGTAAAGAGGGTACTTGATGGCAGCAGTGTCTCCCAACTTCCCCTCCTGTTCTGTGGTATTTCGCATTTAGCTATTTTTTAATGTAGCTTTCAGCAGCCCCTCATCAGATACTTTTTGTTTTTGAATTTCCATTTGTGGCAACTTTCCTCTTATTCACAAAGCATAAAAAAGGTCCCTTAGTTCCTAGAATCTCATTTAAAATGTTTATAGTAAAAAACAAAATTAAACTGTTATTTTTATTGTAACCCTTCCTTGTTTTATTTGAATATGGATTACTAGCAGATATAGGTTGGGGATCAGAAAGGCTAATTAACCATATATTTAATGTGCTTACGTTTTAATGTTGTGTTTATTTTTTAAAATTTTGTTATTTCATTCTTTTATGGTTTTAATTTTGGCAATTAACAGCTCTGGGATCTTTTTCTGCGGTTTTTGGTGATGAATGGAAGGAAAAAAAACAGACAGGGATTTTGTACAGGTAATGTATTTATTCTAAACGTGCTTTAAAAACTTTGAAAAAATAGAACTGATAAATATATGTGTATCAGCACACATCCTAATTGTAACTTTCAAGGGTGCTCTCACACTGCCACACTGCGCTTTGGTCGCATCATGGGTACAGCACAGTGTATCCGCAGGTTTCATGTGGGTCAGCTGCACTGTCTCATTGACTTCTATTATGTCCTGCAGTATTGGTACACTTTCAGAAAACACCACAAAATTGTGAAACATAATAGAGGTCTATGGGAAAGTGCAGCTAACCCTCTTGAAAACCCAGGTATGTTGCTGTGTGGTCCCATGAGTTTATTGGTTATGCATAGATAAATCACTATAAACCATTGACCATCCTGTAATGTTGCCAAGACTTGAGAATGGATCAGTACACAGGGCTGCAAGTTGAGTCAGGCTCTAATGTACAAAGCAAAGAAATGACACCTTCCCAGAGGAGTTCCCAAAGAGGTTTATACAGCGGAGGAGTAGCAAGTCAGAATTCCTGCATAGAAAAGAAATAATAGGCTGTGCCTGGTCAGAGGGCATGTTGGCTGAACATACTACGTAATACAGGCATGCTGTGTATCTACACAGTGGACTTTACTTTGGAATGGCCAGCCAAAGGATGAAAACTGAACACACTAACACAGATCAGCTTGTGTGCTTTGTGTGGACCATTTAGAACCATGTTTCTTAACCTGTTTTCAGTGACGGTACCAGTGTTAGGGCTCATGTACACTGCAGCTCATAAACTAACGTTTAGGAGCTGTTCAGTGTTTTTTTCAGCAGCCCCTGAAGTCACCCTGATGTTTTCCTATGTGTCCATGTACACATCTTCGTTTAGAGTCGTTTACAGACATTTGAGTTTACAGTTGTTTTTTTGAATGCAGAAAACTTGCGTCCAGCAGTTGATTTTATCACCGTTTCAAACGCAAAACGTTTGTAAACGCGGCAAATTTTTTTTTTAACTCTTCCAGTTCCCGATGCTGTCCAGAGCCTTTTTTCATCATGAAAAATGCATGCAAAGCGTTTTCAGGGTACTCAGATGGACAAAACACTGAACACAGGATGTTCCTACCAAGCTTGTCACACATTGTAATGACCAAGTCACACCTCAGACCTCTTCCACCCTTGGAAACAAAAGATATTTAAATGACCATTCACACCTCAAATTCCTCATGAAGACCCCCTGCCAGGAGGTCTTAATGACTCCCTCCACCAGACACCTTTCCCACCCTTGGAAACAAAAGAAATGTTAATGAGCAACTCGCACCTAATCTCAACGCAGACTGCTCTCTCTGCTTCTACTCTCTGTATTTCTTTGAAACAGTCTGAAATAGTTAATAATTTACCACTTTTCAGTGCATTCTGGACATTTGGCAGGTTCTCCTGTGCTTATCTTTAAAAAAACGCTTCTAAATGCAAACGTGCATAAACACCTTATGCAAACGTGGCTAAACAGATGTTTTTTTAACCTACGTTTTCCAGCAGTCAGTTTCCATTGTTCAGAAGTGTCCCGTGTACATGAGGCCTAAGGGGTTCATTCACACATGAATTTGGGGGGGGTCAGTAAAACCAAATTGTTGAGCTGCATTTCTACCACCACCTCCAATTGCTCCCCTTTGATCTGCGGAGACACTGGCCAGAGTTGTACACATGCGTAGATGATGCAATGCTTTGCTTCACGGCTGCAGCTGGCATGATGCAGGAATGATGGCGGCACAATGGGGCAGCATTTAGGGGGTTAAAAACAGGCAGTGAGAGGCAACATATCACCTCCTCACCGCCTGTTAAATACACACACATAAGCTCACATAATATACACATTCATTTAACACACACATATAGCCTTTTTTAAAAACACAGATTTATTGTACCTGGCAGATCCAGATGGCAGGATTAAGCAGGTACTTCAAATCAGAGTGCATTAAAATGATAGACTATGATGTATAAAACACACACACTCACACACGAAAAATGTATATTTACTTACAAAAATATATATACGTATATTTATGCTGTATATAAGCTACTCAGTAAAAAGGTAATTTCATCTGCTGAGCTATCTACTGCTTTTGGCTTAAAGATATAGTATATTTAATCGGCTATTACCCATATGTACAGCAATTGTGAGTGAAGGGCAAATAGTTGCCCTAATAGATTAACTATCTTTACACGTTTCTCTAGAATTTTGTATACAGTAATAAACATTTTTAGCAACATATTTGTGTGACAGGCACTTACTGCATTCACCTTCTTGTCAAAAAAGCCATTCTCCAGCACGGCTGCTCTCCTTGAAGTATAGAGAATTCTTTTGGCTAAAATTCAGTTTTAAAGTGCCATATTTTTTTTTTTGTTTCAGTTTTGGAAGGATATTGTTGATGACAATGAAGTTCGTGACCTCATATATGACAAAAGTAGATCTCAAGGTAGGCTGTCTGATGCATTCATGTGTATGGAACAATGTATGGAAACCATAGAGAAAGGTGCATAAGTCCATAAAAGTCCTACACCAATTTGTGTGCCAAAAATGATCAAGTGCTCAATAAATTGCTTTGTTCCAATCCTCTTTGTGCTCCACCACTGTGTACCACTATATTGCACTCACTGACCATTCATGACCCCTTAATTAAAAGGTCTAATGCGCTTTTCAATTTTTTGCAATTCCATAGCAGCATGGATCAAAAAGATAAACTTCTCATAGTGTAGTAAATGTAGTAAAAGTTGTATATTAAGAACAGATAATTGTACTTACATTAGCTGGTGCCCAATCCTGGGCACTAATACAATAAAGCCTGCGTGCGTTCCAGTGACCAGAAACGGATGTGACGTAAGTGGACGCGGATGTGGCTAGACATGATGCTCTGCTTCTTCATGCTTTGCATAACTTTTTTCACAAGTGCATTTGCACTCTAAGAGGCATCTAACACACAGTGTATTACTGATGTTGGTATTATAACACTGATGATCTTTGGCAAACACTAATATACACATTTTTTAAGGGGTTGCACTATTTTCAGAAGGTTAACTCACTTGGTTAATATATTTTTTTATGTAGTAAGAGAAGGCACTCAGTTTATATACTTCATAGAGAAAGGTGCATCCTCTTATCCTAATCATACAGGAGCACAGACATAGTAATCATAGACCCTGGTTTATAGGCCCACCACCTTCGGGTGATTGGACACGAACAAAGCTTTTGAGGACCTGCTCTCTCTTGCGGAGACATCACTCTTCACTTAAAATGGAATTTTAACCTGGAAAAAAAAATATTGGCAAACAGGCTCAATTTTTAATGTAGGAGAGGCATACGGTGTCTCTTCTGCATTAAAGATCTTTACTTGTCTCTGTGCCTTACCAGGTGGAAGTTCATTTTTTTTGCAGATGTAGCCTTTGGCCATAAGGTTCATACAGCAGCACTGTGAAGTTGGATCTGTTGTCCTTTGTGTGTGTTGGGCCTGTTGGCACAATCCTGTTTGCCTTCTGTCACCGACCCTTCTTATTCATTGCTTTGCGATGTCCCATTGTCTGTGAATACTATGCATGTGTCCTGTCCTATCCTATCCTGTACTGTACGATTAAGATGAGAGGAATCTTGACTTACCTGTAAATTACATTTATTAAAGTGATGTACAGAACACAGGCCACCCTCCATTCTATTTTACAAGGACTTTCGTGGTGGGGAAGGGCTATGGGGCGTGGGGGGGTACCCTGAATGGGCATGGCCTTAAAAGCTTTGGCAGTGTCACCTGAAAGTATGTATGAGCTTATAATAAACCAGGGTGTCCAAGATATGGAATTTTACAGGTAAGAAAAAATTCCTCTTTTTTTTTCAGCTTTTTAAAAAAAAAAAAGGTTTTCATTAATTGAATGAATTTTGCTGTAAAACAAGAATTTCACAAAAAGCATTTTAACCATTTCTCCAAGTACAAGTCATCATTTTAGACTTTTTTATTAGCTTGGCAGCACATAGACCCTTTCTTTTTATATTTTGTTTTTGCAGTTCATTTTTCATTCCCTGGTTTAAAATTTGATACAGCATACAAATGCAAGCATTCTATTTTAATATAAAAAATGTATGTTGTATGATCTGATATTCTTCAGCTGGTAAGCGTATGTGCATGCTTTGAATACTTTTGTAATGAGTGGATTTTTCACATCAGAAAAGGGTAGTTTATTTGGTCCAATATCCTAGAAAATTGCAATCAATGTGTGACTTTACAAATTGTCAATAAACCGTGGTCCATAAGGTTTTACAAGAATTTGAAAAAAAAAAAACCTTAGTAACAACAGTGACACAAAAAGACATAGGGGTTAAGAACCGCAGCATCACATTTTCACAGATCTATGTGGTTGGCAGCGCATACAAAACTATTATTTTTAACATGGTTAGCATCTAAGAAAATAGGTTAACAAGAAAAAATATTTGGGGCAGGGCATACCCTCTGTAAACCTCATGGTGGCAAAACTATGAATCAAATACAGCTGTTAGGGTGTTGTAACCAACGGGCCCTTATTTTTTTTTTTAGAGTTTTTATTTAGACATCCCCTATGGTCATAAATAATTTTCAATGGGGAAGAGTACTATTGATGTCAGATATCCATGTGTTAACATTTAGAAGGGGGAGCTTGTATCCAGGTACGTGGAGTCAGTTTTCTGGCGATGAATAACGTTTAATGTAAGAATATAACAGTGAATTTGTCAGTTACAAGATTGATAAAAAGTCCCAATAAACATTGCTTAGGTCCAGGGAGATTGGAGATTCCATTTTATGCAGAAACGTCACTCTCTGTGCCCAATGTCTCTGGATCGTGGGAAAAGCCCACAATAGATGATAAAAGGTTCCAGGGGCACTCTAACACTTTGGATACAGTGGGCTGTGGTTGGGACCAAATCTGGATATGATAATTGGTATTAAGTAGGTTCTGTGCATTCATGAAAGCTGTGTGAGCCTATCTGATTGTTTGGGTGACACCAGTTTGCAAATATCTAGAAGTTCACTTCACTGGATCTTTGAGAATATGCCACTGTAATTTGTCTGCTATGACCCCAGATAAAGCACTTGCTAAGAGAATTCATAACTTTTAAGGTGTTTCAAAGGGAGATATACCAGGGAGTGCCATAGGACATAAAGGATCTTGGGCAGTAAGATCATCTTTTTTTTTTTTTTTTTTTTTTTTTTTTAAATTCCCTCTTCCCATGACACCTAATGGGAACTTAGACCATGTTTGGGTTTTTGCCTCGAGACTAGGTTCACATTTTTTGTCCGCGCCTGAATCGCATCACGTGGATGTTCACATCCATGCACTCCGATTTCTGGCAATCGCACTGTATTTTGCAATCTGTTTCGAGATGATAATTTAATATCGATACCCGAAACAGATCGCACGAACACTGTGTGGTGTGGTGCCGGAAACGCACAGGATTTTCTGCGTTTCCCGCATCGCATCAGTGTGACCCAGTACTAAAGGATCAGTTCACCTTTTGGGAAAAAATAATAAATACGCATATTTTTGCAGAAAAAAACCAAAATGTGCATTTATTTTTTTCCCTAAGGAGTCTGGAAAACTTGTACCCATGATCAGTGAATCATGGGTGCAATGCCAGACCCCTGCAGACCAGCCCTGCAGCTTTCAGCCCGTACTTTCATTCGGGCTGACTGTTCACCAGCTGCAGGGCTTGTGAATCAGCTATGAGGCCCCTCTTCAACGACCCCGCAGTCCATTCAATACTACAAGCAGTCAGCTGCAAAGATAGACAGTTATAGTTCATGCATTCACAAGAAACTAAATGACCTAGCTGCGTGGGAGGAGCCCTGCATGGCCATTTTTTTCTTTTTCAGACCGTGACAGCGGGCATGGAGAAAAGATCCCCCCCGCTCATTATCACATGTAGGGGGGAGAGGTTGCAGCTGCTGGAATTTGTTGGGGTCGTTTCACACGGGCATTCCGTTTTTTTTTTTTTTTTTCATAAGTTGTCACTTTTTTTTCAAAGAAAAAAACGTATCAGTTTTTCAGCTGTTTTTACATCCACAACCAATGCAGAAATGGACCTTTGTCCATTTACATCCATTTTTCATCCGTTCCGTTTTTATTGTAATGGAACAAAAAAAATAGGGATTTGATCCTTTCCAACAAACTGATGTTGACAGATGCGGATGCAAATGGGTGATCATCCGTTTACATCCGGTTTTCCATAGAGATGCATAGATGCCCGTTTTTCATCCATCAACAGAATGCCCATTTGAAAGGGGTTCTTGCTAGGTTTAGGAATTAGAATAATTAGGGCTCCTCTCATTGAGCCAAGGCAAAGCTGATAAATCAAATATACTACTGAACAACTAAGTTTGGGGGCACAAATTTTCCACATAATGCACTTCTAATTCTCCTAGTAAGCCATCTACAACTGCCCATGGTAAGTTCATAAGTAGAACGTGGTGCATCAAAAAAAAAAAAAAAAGTCCATTCATCAGTTGTGGAAACTCTGAGTGAGCAATCTGAAGATCAGAGTGTATTACAGTTAGGGAGTCTAAATTGCAATAAAATTGACAAAACTCAGCAGTGATTAGCTTAGATATGGCAACAGCTGACCATTCCTCTCCTACCACTGACACTCAGCATGGGATGTCTGCAGGGAGGTTTCCCTGCACCACTTTTGTGTGAACTCGGGCTATGACAAGCCTGGGTTCACATAGGAGCAGTGGGGAAACTGCATGTGTTTTGGACAGGAATCACATTCCTGTTCAAATGGCATGCTATTCTTTGTGGTGCAATTGGCGTCCATTAATGCAAATCACACTGCAATGTATCAGTACTCGGGGTATCGGTAGCGAACGTATCAGTACTTGTGCTCGCCGATTAAAAACAACAATATCGGTGCATCCCTACTAGTAACTATATAGGAACTATACCTAACAGAGACATATACAGCAGTCAAGACCTGGCAGCAATTTTAAGCTTTTAACTATCTTACAATGTTCAAAAGATTAGCTTGCATTTTATTTTAAGACTGTATAAACTGTAAGGTATATTTGTGCACTTGTCAAAGTTTTCTATCCAGAACGTATTCTGCCATACAAAGAGTAAAATTGTATCTTTTCTTTGCTATGAATATGACAGTAAAACAATGTGTATTGCCAACGAATCATGTAACTTAATTCTTTTTACATGTTTTTTTATTTATTTTTTTTTATCCCCAGAAGGTACATCTCCTGAGTCTTTATGGGACTCGCTATTTCATCCACCTCGGAAACTGGGTATAAAAATGACATTGAAGGACAGCGTGTTCTACAGATAGCGGTCATTTTGCGAAATCTTTCATTTGAGGAAAGCAATGTAAAACTTTTGGCAGCTAATCGGACTTGTCTCCGCTTCTTATTACTGTCAGCTCATAGTCACTTTATTTCTCTACGGCAACTGGGTCTTGATACGTTGGGGAATATTGCAGCAGAGGTGAGAAATATAATGCCAATTCACCATTTTTAAGTTAAATTTTTGTAGCCAACAACATGGCTCCCTTTTACATGTGGCTTGTGTGTGATGCTAATACAACCAACTTACTTACTGATAAGATTTTTTTAGCAATGTTCTCAACTAAAATGTGAGTGCTTTGATTGTGGTTATAATTCATGCAGGCAGATTAATAAGGAGTAGTGGTTCAATTCTGTAAGCACTTCAGGTTATAAATGAGATTTATCAAAATGTAATTATGAGATGTACCAAAATGTAATAATCTCCTGTAATACTTACCACCCCTTTATTTGTTGAAAGTACACTAATCCCTGTTGAATTCAGAGGACTGTCCCATCTGTAACCTTGTCATAATTAATTTCAGAACCAATATCCTACAGTTAATTTTCTCACTGGGCTAAAAACTTTAATAACTTCTAATTTTTGTAAAATGAAGCAGCAAACTTGGGAAGGTGGTGTTGCAGTGTGTGTTCAGTACTTTGTAAGGGCCGTGTTGCACTAGAAACTTTGTAGCAGCTGCAAACCTCCTTGCTTAAAGTGATATTAAGTATTTTTGTTGTTATACTTACCTGCTCTGTGCAATGATATTGCACAGAGTGGTCCCTTACTTCCTCTTCTGGAGCCCCCTTCTGGCACTGTCTGCTCCTTCTCTCCTCCGGGTTTCTTCTCAGCAAGCATGGTGCTGAGGGGGCACACGCGTAGACGTACTCTCTAGCTGGGCTGTGTGCATCCATAGATACAGCACCAGTAAGCCCCACCCCCTCTCACTCCGCACAGGAGTTTGACTGACAGCAGAAGAGGCTTATGGCTCTCGCTGCTTTCGGTTAAGATCAGGAAGAAAAAGCGAGCTGCCAGGGGCAGTGCTTGATCGATAGTCGGGTAACTCTGGGACAGTGGCCACAAGTTGTGTGTTTTTTTTTTTTTAAGGTTAAAGTAGAGAATGCATTAAGGTAAAATTCACTTAGACTTTGGAACCTCTTTAATCTGGCCATGGATGGATTGAAATTTGGCCGGTTCAGCAGGAACTGGCCTAATTTCAATCCATGTTTTGCCATTCCTACCCGACAGAAGTTAAATCTAACAATCAACCTCTGTCAAACTGGAATGTCGAATAACTTGTCGATCAGCAGCTGCAGCAATGGTATGCGGAGGAGTCCCATTGTCAATACAATGGCATAGTGGGGAAGCTTCCTCCATCCACCTCTCTTGTGTGAAAAGGGGAATCTGCTTATTTATTTTCTTTTTTTTTTTTTTATTTCGTGTATCGGTCTGCTGGCTGATCAAAAAAAAAAATCCATCTATGGCCAGCCTTATTCTCTCTGGCAATTGTAGCTAGTTTCTTTAGCTGCTACAAATCACTGAACAAAATTGCTTGTGTGACATTGACCTTATTCTCCAAAGCCCACAACCTCCCTTAATTTTTGGTTATTTGACTGTTATACTGTTGATTTTTATTATTTTCAATATTATTTTTCTGCTTTAGCTTCAGCTAGATCCTGTTGACTTCAAAACCACTCACCTTATGTTTCACACTATCACAAAATGCCTAATGTCAAGGGACAGGTTCTTAAAAATGAGAGGTAAGTTTTTTCAGAAATTGTCAGTGAAAAAGCATTGATTATTCTCAGCTTTTGTTAACCTTCACAATGGTTTGCTGTGGTTTACTATCAGGCATGGAAATCTTAGGAAACTTGTGTAAGGCTGAAGATAATGGTGTTCTTATATGTGAGTATGTGGATCAAGATAGCTACAAGGAAATCATATGTCATCTTACTCTGCCGGATGTCCTGCTTGTAATCTCTACTCTTGAGGTGCTCTATATGCTTACAGAACTGGGAGAAGTGGCCTGTGTGAAGATAGCAAATGTAGAGCGAAGCATAGGTAAGTCATTTCTGGGGTACTTTAAGGACTTGGTCAGATTTGCTGCTTCCCTATGTGCTGAATAATAAATGAAGTAAGCACTTTGGGTTTCAAATCATACATTGCTTTTCCTTTTGCCGTTTATTAAGGGTTTCACTCTATGGTAACGTACACCATAATCCTACTATAGTTACTGTTTTTAAAAGTGTGTATCAGAAATTGTTTTATAGCATGTTTTTATAAGATAAGTTCAGCTTTAGGAACATGTTCCACTCATTTTTAGAGTGGAACATATAACACATTCCCACCGCTGAAGCTGCTGCCCAATCCTCCCTGCTTCCTGCGACAGCAGTACAGGGAGAAGTTCCCTATACTAGCTGTCACTTTTTTTTTTAAAAAGTGTGGCTCTGCCCACACAGCTACGCTATTCACTCACAGAGTTCTGTGAATGAACTACAGATCGGCTTGTAGTTTTCAATGAACTACCAGGGTGCTGTTGAACAATGTGGTAGTTCATTGAGTCTTCCTGTCAGACTGTATCTGTTTGCTCGTACGGGATGTACACATACACTGACAGTTTGCAGGAGTCCTGCATGGCACCAGCAATCTGCTTATCACTGGTGCAATGCTTTCCAGGTTCCAAGAAGAGAAAAAAAATTGTAAATGCACTTTTTTTTTTTTTTTTTACCCACAAAAGGGCATTATATATATATTTTTTAAGTGAACTTATCCTTTAAAAGCCATGAGTATTTCTGATTTTCATCCCTATTTTTAATTGGTTGTTCACTATTTGTGTTGATTGTTGCAGATACTCTAGTATGCCTTATTTCAATGGACATACAAATGTTTGGGCCCGATGCACTTACAGCGGTAAAACTTATAGAGCATCAAAGTTCCAACCACCAGGTAGTGTCGGAAATCCGCCCTCAAACTGTTGAGCATGTGCCTGCTGCAACCAATCCAAACCCTGCTCCAGGTAATTTTAAAAAATGTTTGTTACCTGCTTTTGTTTTGTTTGTACATTTTAAGTAACAAAAAGTGTGGTTGTTAATGCATTTAAATCTATCTTATGTGTTCCCTGACCTATTAACCACTTGCTGACCATATGTGTCTATATACATACAGCCTGTCTGCAAGTGATTATTAGAAGTAGTTTTCTAGCTACAAATGCAGATTTCAATGTGTGGAAATGTATAAATTAAATTGCCACAGAGAGCAAGTGTATAAAGAAGTTTGTAGCATAATGTTAAGAATTATTTTTGCACAGCCTTCACTATAATAGATTTCCAATAGGGTTTACTTTGGCCACTCATTTTCAGCAGTAAGATATGACTGGAAGAGACAACCCTTTAATTAGGTAGCATCCTCATTAGTTTTGTCCATAGTTTTTCTAAAGTTATTAGTAATTATTAAGGTTGCTGATTTAGTTTTTTTTTTTTTCTTTTTCGTATGCTCATTCGCTAATGCTTATGATAGAATTCAGCTGTGTAAAAATGTTAACGGTTTTTTAATTTATTATTTTTTTTAAAGCCTCAAGACCTGCGGCTGCGCATGGTGTTCCACCTGGAATTGTAGAAATAGACAGTGAGAAGTTCGGTTGTCAATGGTATGTGCAAACTGTTTTTACAGCGTCCCAATCATGCTTCTCTGTTGTAGCAGTTTTTTAATTGTAGTCTGAGGTTTTAGAACAGTCTCTTTATGGGAAGCACAGTGGCTAAATGGTTAGCACTTCCACATGGCAGCACTAGGGTCATTGGTTTGAATCCCAACCACGGCACTACCTGCCTGGAGTTTGCATGTTCTCCCTGTGCCTGCGTGAGTTTCCTCTGGGTACTCCGGTTTCCTCCCACACTCCAAAGACATGCTGGTAGGTTAATTTGCTCCTGTCTAAATTAGCTCTATTATGTGTATGTATGAATGTGAGTTAGGGACCTTAGATTGTATGCACCTTGAGCTGATGTGAATTTACTATGTGTGTGTGTGTGTGTGTATATATATATATATATATATATATATATCTGTGTATGTAATGTAATGGATGATTGTAAGTTAAAGTGATACTAAATATTGTGATGAGAGAAAATAAAAGAAAAAGAGAAAATATCCAGTGAGCTGCAGTTGTGTGGACGAAAATACCTTGATGTCAGAGCAGAATGGGCAGACTGGTTAAACTGTGACATTCAGGTAGTAAGGTCAGAATTTGGCGTAAACAACATAAAAGCATGGATCCATCCTGTGTCTTATCAACGGCTCAGGCTGGTGATGGTGGTGTAATAGTGTGGGGGATATTTTCTTACCACTGGCAAGGTGTACCTAATAAAGTGGCAAGTAAGTGTGCATGGTATAGACATGGTATTTTTTATGTATTCATTCTGATTTTCTGTGTATTCTTTTCAATGGAATTTGTTGGATAAAAGTTTTTGTGTGCTTTTGTCTCCTTCATACATGTTTACCCTAGTTGAAGTATAACTCCTAAATATCATCCCCTAAATGAAGCAATCATAAGCACACTCGTACATGTCTGCTATAGAAAATAAGAAACAATAGCTGTACCCATACTTTGTGAATTCAGCAAGAAATTACATTTTGGTTTGCTGCTATTAAAAGCTCTGTGCTGTGCACATGGGATGTATTAATTTAGTTGGTTTTTGTGTTCTGACAACAGAACAACTGATATTTTTCAGTGGCCATGGCAGCTAAGACCACAGGAAGACCACAGGAAGGAAGAGTGAGGGATAAGGGGATGCGTAGATGTAGAGGAGTAGACTGTTTAAAGAACAATTCTCTGGGGATCTGACTAGCTAAGACAGTGTTTTTGATAAATTTTTAGTTGGCAATGTACACTGCTCAAAAAAATTAAAGGAACACTTTTTAATCAGAGTATACATCAAGTCAACAACACTCCTGGGATATTGATCTGGTCAGTTAAGTAGCAGAGGGGGTTGTTAATCAGTTTTAGCTGCTTTGCTGTTAATGAAATTAACAACAGGTGCACTAGATGGGCAACAGTGAGATGACCCCCAAAACAGGGATGGTTTTACAGGTGGAGGCCATTGATATTTTTTTTCTTACTTATCTTTTCTGACTTTTTTTTAACTAGTTTTGCATTTGGCGACGGCCCATGTCACTACTGGTAGCATGTGGCGATATCTGGAGCCTACAGAGGTTGCACAGGCAGTCCAACTCCTCCACGATGGCACACAAATACGTGCCATTGCCAGAAGGTTTGCACATTGTCAAGAACATGGAGGAGATTCCAGGAGACAAGCAGTTACTCTATGATAGCTGGACAGGGCCGTAGACGGTCCTTAATCCCATCAGCAGGTCCAGTGTCTGCTCCTTTGTGTAAGGAGGAACAGGATGAGCACTGCCAGAGCCCTACAAAATTACCTCCAGCAGGCCACTGGTGTGAATGTCTCTGACCCAACAATCAAAAACAGACTTCATGAGAGTGGCCTGAGAGCTCGACGTTGTCTAGTGGGCTCTGTGCTCACTGGCCGGCACCATAGAGCTTGATTGGCATTTGCCATTGAACACCAGAATTGACAGGTCCTCCACTGGCACCCTGTGCTTTTCACAAATGAGAGCAGGTTCACTCTGAGCACATGTGACAGATGTGAAAGGGTCTGGGGAAGCCGTGGAGAACGTTATGCTGCCTATAACATCGTTCAGCATGACTATTTTGGTGGTGTGTCTGTGGTGGTCTGGTGAGGCATATCCATGGAGGGACACACAGATCTCTACAGGCTAGACAATGGCACCCTGACTGCCATTAGGTATCAGGATAAAATCCTTGTACCCATTGTCAGACCCTACGTTGGTGCAGTGGGTCCTGGGTTCCTCCTGGTACACAATGCCTGGCCTCGTGTGGTAAGAATATTCTTGCAGTTCCAGGAGGATGAAGGAATTGATACCATTGAATTGTCCACACACTTGCCTGACCTAAATCCAATAGAACACCTCTGGGATATCATGTTTCAGTCCATCCGATGCCGCCAGAGAGACACCTCAGACTGTCCAGGAGCTCAGTGATGCCCTGGTCCAGATCTGAGAGGAAATACCTCAGGACACCATCCGTCGTCTCATTAGGAGCATGGCCCGACATTGTCAGGCATGCATACAAGCACATGGGAGCCATACATAATACTGATACCATTTTTAGTTGCTGCAATGAAATTTCCGCAAAAAGGACTAGCCTGCTGCATCATTTTTTCTCTTTGATTTTCGGGGTGTCTTTGAATTCAGTCCTCTGTAGGTTGATAATTTTCATTTCCATCAAACGATAGGGTATCCTTACGTTCCTAACACATTACCTAGTCCATGTCAGTATAGATATCCAGCACAATATTTTTTCCCATTGAAATCTGATGTGTTTCCAAAGTGTTCCTTTAATTTTTTTGAGCAGTATATTTGTTTTCATTCACTCACAATAAATAGAATATGGATAAAATTTTAAAAAAAAAGCAATAAAACTAGAAAATTATTTCTTAAAGCATGCCATTAAGTAGAGGAGACGGTTACTATGTTTATAGCACTAAACCCACACAACCGAATACCAAAGATGATGACTGCTGAAATCCTCCTTTGCTGACCAGTCTGTAGGGGTGTTCCTAGAACTGATTCAGTTGTGGCAAGATAGTAGGTTTGACAGACTGACTCGATCTAATGACATCTTGCTTTTCATAGAAAGCTTTAATCCAAAACTTGTGCAGATGTTCACAAATTAACATATAGTCAAAATATCACAGTATGTCTAACTCCAGCATAAGCTCAGATTAGAAACTAAAGACACAGTGAAGAGAAGGGTAAGACTAGCTATACAGAGCACTTCCTAGCTACGATGTGTGGAAGGCACAAATTATTTAAAGGCAAACAAACAATGCATATGTAACATGATAGTAGGTCTAAAATTCTAGGGCTTAAAGTGTCACTAAACCCACAACAGTAAAATTAGTCTGTATATGCAGTAAAGCATGCTTGTTATACTCACTGTGGAACCTAATGGGTTAATCCTCTGCATTGTGTAAAAATGCTGTTTAATCCTGACTCCTCGGATCCTCTCCTTCCAGTGTCTCCCTCTTGTCTCCTGATAAGACATATCATGTGGAGACACTCTGCACATGCTCAGTTTGGTGTGTATTGTTAGAGACTTTTTGTTTTTCCTTGGGAGAGTGCTTGTGATCAGCATGGGGCCAATCAGTACTGTCCAGGAAGAGGTCAGGGGTTTTGCATCCTCCTAGAGCAGAAAAAAAAATTCTTCCTACAAGCTTTAACCAGTGTTCTGCTGAACACTGATAGAAGTCACAGGACTGCTCTAACTGCTGATGTGAAAAGGTATTTAGCAGTTTATATTTACTAAAATAATTGCATTTCCTTGTACTGTGGGAGACCAGATATAGTGAATTTAGGGTCCTGGGTTTGCTAACACTTTAATATTTTATATGTGGTCAGTACCAGCAGTGACATTGGCAGGGCTATGCAGGGTGAAGGACTAGTTTTGCTTTCTGATGAGAATATGGAAGGGATATCCCCATCTGTAAAGTGGCTGCTGATGCTTCTAACACCACCAACAGGGGGCAAACCATTCCCCTCATTTGCCTGGTATGTCGAGAAAGGTCTGGAAAAATCTGGATATGTGTGCCATCAAAGTCCAAAGGATTGTTCTGCCATGCCTTTACGAAGGATATCTCCTTTAATGATATAATATTCAACTCTGCATAAAACATCCCAGGGAGAACCTGGACCGTCAGATCTGGGCAGCGAGATCCGATGTACTCTTCTAATTCTTGCTCGGTATCTGGAGCTTTGCCCAGGATAGTATTACAGATAGCCTGGACCGTGGTTTTAAGGTCATCTCCAGACATGGATTCCGGTATTTTTTTAAGCGCAGGTTATTTCTCCAGCTGCTATTCTCAGCATCCTCTAAGTGAAGAACAGTGGTAAAGCATTTGCGGGAAGAGGCACAATATTTCTCCAGTGCAGTCAGGCAAGAGTTAAGAGTTCCTTGCTTCTTCCAGGGAAGCCACTCTGGCCACCCACCTGGGATATCTCCTGCCTAACATCTGCTATCGCCCTCTGCACCATAGATTCCAAGTCCATCTTGGTAGGGCCTCTATCATGCCTGGTAGGTAGGCTGTGCCCAGACTGTCTCCGGCCCTTGGTCATGTATATGTCGGCTCGGTTAGCTGAAAGTAGCCCTCAGTGTAGCCACAGAGGAACAGAGCTCCAGGAATTAGCAGCTGTTCAGCCTCATGGTCTGTGCAGCCCCCCCCTGCGCAATCTATTTTAAATCAAAACTTGAAGAAAAATGTTTCAAATTTGTTTTCACTTTTACAGAAAGCGAATAAAAGAGATATTAGGCTGTTCAAAAATATAGCAGTGTGTGCATTTTTATTTACAAACTGCAACATTTATTATATAAACTGAAAAATGTTTGAAGATTTATCTTTCCTGTGAATCTCTGAACTAATATTTAGTTGTATAATCACTGTTACTGAGAACTGCTTCACATATGTGTTGCAACTTCTGGCACCTGTAACAGGTATTCTAGCCCAGGATGATTGTTCTACATTCCACTATTCCTCTGCATTTCTTGGTTTTACCTCAGAAACAGCATTTTTGATGTCACCCCACAAGTTTTCTAATGGATTAAGGTCCGGGGATTGGGCTGGCCACTCCGTAACGTTAATCTTGTTGGTCTGGAGCCAAAATGCTGCTTGCTTACTGGTGTGTTTGGGTTGTTGTCTTGTTCAAACACCCATTTCAAGGGCATTTACTCTTCAGTATAAGGCAGCATGACTTCAAGTATTTTGATGTATTCAAACTGATCCATGTTCCCTAGTATGTGATAAATAGGCCCAAAACATTGATCTGGGATCCCTCCAGCACTTACCTTGTCCTGCGCTCCCGCAATGTCCCCCCTGCAGCGTCCCTGGTCATGTCCTCCGGCCAATTCCGTGTTCCGTTCCGTGAGAGTGTTGGGACGTATGGAGGACAGAACCGGCGGGAAATTCACAAATGTAAAAATTTGACTTTCATTCAATACACTAAAATTTATAGTATTACAATACTGTATCAAACCATTTCACATACGTTTTGTCCAGTGCCCTGCCTGTATTTTTACTGTTCTTTCTGGAAACTGAGAAGCGTCCTTGGCGTCCAAAAAGCGTCCCTTTTAGGTCAAAAGTGGTTTTAGACCAGCTAGAGAACAGCGATAGTAAATCAGAACCACTTGCAGAATTGAGTGATAATGATTCGTGGGGAAATTCGTCATCAGACACTGAAAACGATTCTGCTACTGAGCTCAGAGATGTGCGAACTTGGCGCTGTATTTCAAATTTCAGGGTTTTTGGTTTGATTACATTATTAAATTAATTTATTATATTATTTTTTTTTTGATTATTTATTATATTATAATTTATGATTTTGGGTTTCAAATTTTATCATACCCAGGATGTTTACTAGAATTACAGGCCTACAATAAAAAACAACATATTTCCATTGAAAACATGCTGGTAGGTTAATTGGCTCCTGTCTAAAATTGTCCCTAGTATGTATGTATGTATGAATGAATGTAACTTAGGGACCTAAGATTGTACGCCCCTTGAGTGTTAGGGATTGATGTGAATGTACATGTATGTAAAGCGCTGTGTAAATTGACAGCGCTATATACGTACCATAAATAAAACAATGTACCGCTTTGAGCACAGAAATACTGACATAATCGAACCGCTAGGGAGGTTAAAAAAAAGTGTCAGCTTGTAGTTCTCTTTGAACTACTAGAGCGCTGATGAGCACTCTAGGTAGTTCAATTGATCCTTCCTGTCATTCAGTAATTTCCTATGGGCAGACAGCTACTTTGACCATTTGCAAGGGCCTAGTTTTGCAACCCCTGATCTGCTGGTTGCAGGTGCAATGCTGTACAGGCTCCTAATAGGAAAGAGAAGAGAAGAACGAGGAGCTGGCCATAATAATTGCTTGTGTATGACAGCCATCGGGATTATGGAGGACCAGAAGACATTCAGTAGAGCAGCATGCAAACCCCAATCCCCCACCCCCGGCCCCATTGTGCCAGATCCAGGATCTTCTCCCTGCACCCACTGTCACAATTTTTTTTTAAAAATTGTGACATGCATGCAGAACTCTGCCCACCCAGCCACAGTCACTCATTCACAGACTTCTGTGAATGGGTCAACTACAGCTACCATCAGCCAATTGCGGCTGATTGCTTATAGTTCTCAATGAACTACCAGGGTGCTGATGAGCACTCTAGGTAATTCATTGATCCTTCCTGTCATTCAGTAACTGCCTATGGGCAGACAGCTACGATGACAATCTGTAGGAGCCTAAGATTTCACCCCCTATCTACTGAATGTGGGTGCAATTCTTTACAGGCTCCTAATACAAAAAAAAAATAAAAGCACATTTTTTGAATTGATCTTTAAAGTTTGAGGCTGCAAAGTAATGAAAAGCACTTTTCTTGACCTCAAGTTAGGGTTGAGTCTTAGTTTTTTTTTAGTTGAGGAAGATGGGTACTTTTGCCACCTGTGGCTTCCTTGATGGCATCAAGAAGAAACGCAGAGACGTTCTTCGAAGTCCAACACTTAAAGCTGGACTGAAGGGGTAAACAGTTACCTGTCCAACGGTCCCTCATCAGCGCTGGCATCTTCTTCTGAGTGCCGGTCTTCAGTCCTCTTCCCTGGTTGGGGGGGATGGCGTCATTCCTGCGCATGCACAGGAGCTAGTCATCCCAGTACTAAGAGACTGGCCCGGCACTTTAAGCTGAGCTGCGCATGCACAGTTCAGTTTTCAGCGCCAGAGAAAACATCGAGCAGGCAGATAGAGGTATTTTATTGCAGAAGACAGTGCATGCCTTTTCTATAGTAAACGCCTGCCTTCTCACTCTTACAGCAGAACTTAAACTGAAACTTTAGTCAGAAAATAAAGTCCTGATTACTTTTGGCTGGCCCCTTTTTACAGGTATAGCTATGTAAAATATTAAATATAATTGCCTATACTGCTTAAAATCCAGTGATATACTCTCTCCCTGCTCTGCACATGCTCAGTTGCTCTCTAATTTTTGTCACTGTGCTAGATTTGTGGAGGCCAGTCTGCTGACAACCTAAAGATTGACTGCTGCTCAGGGGCTCTGAGCTTCAGTAAAATGGCAGCCTCCAGCAAAAAGAAACAGGAACAATGCTAGAGGCAATTTACAGAACACACTAATTTTGGTAGTATAATTATTAATATTGAATGTATTGCATGTTCCTTGCTAAAAATACATTATTTTTTATGAAGTTATGGGGAAAGTTCCACTTTAAGTTCTGCTGTAAGCCAGAGTGTTCCCCCATAATTGACATGATTGGAGACTCATGTGGGAAACAGATGGGAAACCTCCAGCAGCCATACTTTTCACTTGGTTTTGCTTTACTTATCCTCTCTCTCAGTTCAAGTTCACCAGTCATATTTGACCGAATGGAGAACAATGCATCCTCTCTGTGTGGCTGTTTTATTTTAGCAAGTTTGAGGGTGCTTTTTATGGAATATAAATACCTGTTTTTCAACCTGTGTGCGTGTACCTGGTTTTGGGAATATACAAAAATCTTGTAAAAATATGCAAGTAAAAACATTTTTTTTTTGAGATTACAGAAGCAAAACTGCTTACAATTCTGGTATTTGGTATTGTCCTGTTTACTGCAACATAAAATGCAAGATTATGATTTCAGGCAAGACCTTGTGCAGTGTTTGGTACCAACATTTCTAATGTCTTTTTTTTTTTTTTTTTTTTTTTGTGAATATTGAACAGTTTGTTAAAAGGTGTTTTTCGTGTATGAATTGGTTTTGCAGCCATACATAAATAGGTTGAGTACAGTTACTGGATTACTACTTTTAAAAACAAACTACATGAGCCCTTTGTGCCTTTCCCACAGGTTAAATGCCCATTTTGAAGTAAGTCCAGATAGCTCCGTCTCCAGATCGGAAATGTACTCGGAGTATCTTTCAACATGCAGCAAATTGGCAAGAGGTGGAATTCTGACCTCCTCTGGATTTTACAAATGTCTGAGGTACAAAAACTGCTCTTTTTTCAGAATATGTTTTTACAATCTACATGGCTTTTAGTTATTTTATCCTAGTGTTCTGATCTTTGCTTGTTAGTGGTAGAACAACCTTAGGCACTGATAAAACAGTTGCATTGTTTTTGGAAGTTGAAAGTTTACATAGTTGCCACTTCAAGAAACATTTAAGTTATATTAACACAAAATATAGTAGAACAAAAATATAAAAAATCTAAGCAGTGAGCTGAGTCGGATAATTTCACATATATGGTTCACTTGGATTATGTTGTTTTTCATACAGATTGTTGAGTATTTTGTAAAGCAACTAGTATAAGTTCCTGAATGTGACTTGGTATCAGCCTCTTGCAGAGTTCAGACTAGGAGGGGGAAAAGGAGCCAGATAGTTGGGCTGCAGTGCTCAGGTGCCAAAAAGGAGCATGCTAATAGGAGAAGCGAGCAGAAAGATGAACTAATCAGTCTGCTTCTCTTCACCTTTACTGTCCAATAACAGGCTAGGAGCAGGGACAAGATCTAGTTGAGTTAACTAGAGAATGGTCAGGACTCCATGCTGGCTGTGGGGCAGGACTTTGTCTGGACCTTTGAAAGGAGGATAGATAGGTACATGTGCCTCAAATGACTCCTACATTAATACAGGGCATTGTAATGATGGTAGACCAGAGGAAAGTACTCTGGTAGGGGGACCAGGTACTCCTACACCTGGAAGTGTGCTGCACACTGAAGATGTTCCTGCAGACAGCAGGTATTGATGATGCAATGAATGACATTCTCTCTGTTTCTGATTAGCTTTTCTTACTAGTTTGTGCATACACTTACATTCATGCTAGTTATGTTTTTTTATCATTTATACTGTTAATCCGCATGTTTTGCAGGTCTGTATTCCCAAATCACAACATAAAGCGAGTAGAAGACCCGAACAATAATGGACAAGCTCATATTCACGTTTCTGGTGTGAAGAGAAGGGCATTACCACTTCCAATTCAGATGTACTATCAGCAGCAGCAACAATCTCCTGCTGTCAGGGCAGATATGGTGCCTGATGCAAATATAGCAGGTTAACATCTGTATTTTTTTTTACAAATTGTTATTGCAATATTTTAAAAACAATGCTCTCAAGCATTATGCAACTATATTTATTATTTTTGGTATACAAAATTCTGATCATTTTGTGTACACTTGGTGGAATTTGAAATCTTCTTCGTCTGAGGTAGTGTCTGTTATGGGATTTAAATGAAAGGGGAAGGGATGATATATTTATGCACTGACATTAGCTTTAGGTAGCAGAAAGCCTATTTTACACTGCTTCAAAATGTGGAATTTTACACACTTGTTAAAGCACTCTGAATGCTAATCAAAGTACCTCTCAATGAATAAATTAGTTACCTTACCTTACAGTCCTATTCAAAAATGATATCCCATGTCGCTTTCTTGGTGCTTCAAAGCCTTCATAGAAGTCTTTGACAATGTTCTCTAACAGCATCTGCAGCTTTTGAGGGGCTTTTATTCAGTTTGCTTCACTTTTTTTTTTTTTGGAGGTATGGGATATCCCAGGATGCACTGGAAAACCAACAAGTGAACTTTGAAAGATGTCATCAGCATTAACTTCTGGTTCCTGTGTATATATTTTGGGAGTGTTTGGGTGCACGTCAAATCTTGTGTGCAGCAGGAATGTGAGCGGTGTTCAGACTGGAGCAGAGCAACTAGCAGATGGCACATGTGTGCATCATGGGAACGCTATAGTGGAAGATCAGTGGGGACCGGAGAGAAACGACTTAGTGGCAAGGACAAACTAGCAAATGTCATATGTGACAGCATGGGAGCAATATAGTGGGAGGTGAGCGGGGGACCAGAGAGAGAGGGGGATTAGCAGAGTGTTGGGGATTGCTACTGAGAGAGGGATTAGCAGAGCTGGAGGGATGCTACTGAGCGGGGGTTTAGCAGAACTGTGGGTTACTACTGAGCAGGGGATCAACAAAGCTGTACTACTGGTGGCACTAATGAGCTGGGAATCTACTGAACAGTGGTACTACTCTTCCAGGGTTCTACTAGGTCCCTTTAAAACAAATTTAAAATCAACAAACACAGGGCATTTGCAAGCTTCATTAACCGGTTTGCGCTGAGAGTACGCAAATATGTGGCCTCTGGGGGGGGTGCCATGACGACTAGAGGAGGCCGCTTTTTTGCGTACCCCAAATGTAAACAAACCTGTGCCGAGAACGTGCCCGCTCCTGGCACAGTTACCAGCATCTAACAGCTCCTGATTGCATGGCCGCTGTGAAAGCAAATCACAGCAGTCACATGATAATATGCCCCCCCAGCCTCCCAGCATCAGAAAGCCAAGCGTTAAGGGGTTAAACCTTCAAAAGAGCATAGCAAATGGATCACTGAGGCATCACAGATGCATCAGTAAAGCATGCTGAGGCTGTAGGGCTTTATTGTGTGTTAAAATTCAAAGCAAGTGTAATCAAGCCCTTAGAATTCATGTTTGTTCTAGAATTTAGGTTAGAGGAACTTCACTCCAAACCCCGGTCTTCTCACCCAGGTGAGAATGGGGGAGGGGCAGGATTTTAAAAAAAAATATATAGAAAAAATATCCGTAAATATTAGGGATGCACTGAAATTGCGGCATCGAAAGGAATAGGGGAAAAAAAAGCCGGCAATTGCATTTAAAAACAACGCAGTTTTTTTAAATGTAATTACCGGCTTTTTTCCCCTTTACTATAGCTCAGAGAAGGAGCTGTCATTCTTGCAGGGCTAAAGGAAACAAAGGAGCGGGGTCACCCAGTGACATTACCCAGTGACCCCGCCCTTTAGTTTCCTTTTAGGTCTGAGGAACGTGAAAGCTCATTCTTTGAGCTATAGTGAAGAAAAGAAAGCCCGGTAATTACATTTAAAAACTGTCACTGACATATAGTGACAGCGAGTGAGGGAGCCTCTCTGTATACACTGCTCCCTCACTGTATACACTCCTCCTCTCCTGCCCCCTCCTTGCACACACTGCCCCCCTCCCCCTTACAAAGAGGACCTGTCACTTATATGATATTACATAGAGGACCATTGGTCTCCTATATAATAGCAATAAAATTATAAGTTAAAAAAAATAAAATAAATATATATATATTATAGTTGAAAAAAATACGACAAAAAATTGGAACCTCCCTACCCCCACGTACGCAAACATTTCAGCTCGGTTTTCAGCTACGTGCATTCTGCATTTTCGCTAGAGGTTTCGGCACCAGAATTTTCATTATGGTGCACCACTAGTAAATATCAATAAACCACTACAGAAATAACGGACTAGTCTAGCACTTCAAGGTAAAGTAGCCATATTGCATACGAAACCATACCAGAATTGGTGTCACTAAAGACAAAACTTTTTTTCCATTTTGGATAGAGTAATGGAGAGTTATCCCTGTCAGTTTTTTTTCCTGTGTCCCATTTGCAGATATTTGCCTTCACTTCCTGTCCTGTAGCTAAAACAAGTGAGAGGAGATCTCTCCAAAGTGAGGGAATCCCGGGATATCACCAAAACTGGTGCCCCATTGGAAGATTTCCCGCTCTTTTCCTGGTCTCTTGTCAACCCAAAATTTGTGACTTTCTTTTACTTGCACTTTCGATGAAAACGGTAAACAGGACAAATAGAGATGATGTACCTTCCTAATGGTAGCACAGACGTTAATAAAACCTGACGAGTGGTGATCCCTCTCCACTCTATCCCAAAAAATAAAATTCCTTTAGTGGCACTTTAAGGTCACTTTATGTAGGACAAAATATAGTTTTGTCTAGTTTCTTTCAACATTTATCACAAGTTTTTTTTTCCTTATTGAGGGCTAGTTCACACCTAACACCTACAGAAACATGGTCCACAGTGTTAATTTTGATGTCAAAATTCAGTTTAGTTTTAGTCCTAGTCTTTTGATAAATACTTTTTTTTTTTTTAGACATAGGAGAAAAGTCCCCTATATGATTTTATTGTGACAGTTTTTCTTTTTTTAGAGAATCTCTCACCTGCCACCTGATGACGTTATTAGAGCACCATCAGTACTCCATTAGCTTCTTCCCCTGGACAAGGAAAGTGACAGCCGAAGTAATGTCGCTTCTGGGTTCTTACTAGGTTGAGGGGATAAGTGTGTGGTTTTTACTGGAAAGTGTGGAAGTGATCAGGTTGCTGTACAGCTGTTAGTCGGCTTTTTAGATTTACACGCATTGCTTCAGACTCGCTGAACTATATACCTCATGGTACAGTGCAGGAGGTCAATTTCTATTTTTTAACCCTTTGTTAGGACAGATAGCATTCAGCTATAGTTTACAACTGAGCACAGTACAGACCAAGTTAATTATGTTAATCCCCTCCTAAACATTACAAAGGAGTGAATGCTTGTTAGGTGATTTTTTAAGCAAGTAAAGGCACTAAAAAAGGTAAATGGCAATTTTTAAATATTTAATTTGCATTATGCCATTTTAACGGGAATATGGAGTAGGTTTTATCCCAAATAGGCTGCGAAAGTGGAAATATACCTGTATCTAGTATTAGGCAAGAATTTAAGAACATAAATTGTGGCATTAATTATTGGGTGAAATATTAGCATGCAGTTGTTGAATATGTGTAATCAAGAAGGAAAACATATGTTGGAAAATGTCTTAGAATTATTCCAACATAAACAATGCAATATCAATGTGAAATACTATTTTTTTGCCCAAATCATGACTCTTATAGTTGAGCATCATCCCACAGCAGTTGATATATATTCATTTGTATTGCCTGCATGCATTCAAATTCAAATGGGAGTTTTATGTCCGTTAGTCATTAAAGTGGTTGTGAACCCTTACATATACCCAGTGAAGTGACTGGCCTCACCCAGAGATACACAGAGATTAATCAAATCCTCCTATACAAGTTGTACCTATTTATCTGATGTCTTCTGTTCTTTACATCTTCTCAAACTCCGAAGTTAAAAAGCTTACCTGAGTTTTTAGAAACAGGGGCAGAGAGCTTAAACCACATACTGCAGGGCTCAGTGAGGAGAGCTGAAGAAAGGAAGGGACACACACCCCCTTTACACAGCACACGGGGACATAGCTGAGGCTGTCAATCACAGGCTGTGTGCTGGAGATCCTACCCTTGTCACCTTTTTTTCTCAGGAAATCTTGTCAGACATGATAAATGCTGATTGCAGCGGAACAAATCACCAAATATAAATGACACTTAGTGCTTAGCTCATACTTCATGTATGAGATATCCAATCAATTTAAAGGAGGCCTGTCATACCTGCCTGCCAGCCAAACTGACTCTCTCTGGTTTCAAACCCAGTGAAGCTGTAATCTGTGTAGTATTCACAACAGTACTTGTATTTTACCCTCTGAATACTTTGTATTGGATGACCTAAAGTGTTGAAACTAGGTGAGTAACATGACCACGAGACACTTTTTAAGAGATTTACAATAGCAAGTTTGATTTACATATTAAAAGATGTAGATTCTCGGGAACATGCGTCTTGACAGCCCATTTTAGCTTTTGTGTAAAAGACAGCTGCCTACCATTGAGCAAAGGGCGCTTATCAAAGAGCTGAGGAAATTAATGAAATTCTTCTCTGCGTATAATTTTGACGGCATTGAAAACTTGTTTATCATATTCTATGTAAAAAAAAAAAAATTAGTACTGCAGGTTTGTGTGACCGTAAAGTCTACTAACTAGTGTTATATGCATGTAGGCAATCTTGACAACACATGTTTAATTCTCTGGATAGATAGACTAATTTTGTTTTTTGTTTGCAGGAATGCCACAAGGAGCTGCAAATCCTTTCCAGAGAGGTCTGGCAGCTAACCAAGTTCCTACTCTGGCAGTAACACAAATGTCGTTTCCTATTCAAGGTGTCCACACTGTGGCACAGACAGTTTGCCGGATACCACAGAACCCTCTAAGTCAAGCGCAGCATCAACAGAGTACTACTGTGACTGTAATACAGAATAAAACTCCAATTTCGTGTGAAGTAGTGAAAGCAGCAGTAATACAAGGTTCTGTTCAGCACTCAGCAGTTCCTGTCACCATCTCTTTGGCAGGATCAACACAAGCTTCAATCGTTCAAAATCACAGCAACGCAGGACAGCAGTCTTCTGTTGCTGTAGTAGGTTCTCAGGCATTGTTTCACCATCCATCTGTTATTCAGCAGCAGCCCTCATTACATACAGTGGTACCTGGACAGATAGCATCAGGAACACCTGTAGCAGTTATTCAGCAAGCTGTTCCTCAAGGTCACATATTTGGCCGAGTTCAGAATATGCCAACAGGCACAGCAGGAATTCAACAAGGACAGCAATTGATCACCACCTCCTCACAAACTGTGCAGGTTTCGTCACAGCAGTCGCCAGCTTCCAGCCAGCAGAAGGATACAGTTATTATAGCTCCTCAACAATATGTAACAACTTCATCATCCAACATAGCATCTGCAACAAACAGTACAGAATTTCCAGGTTGCCACTGGACAGGTGGTTACTATAGCTGGTATGCAGAATCCACAAGCCTCTCGAATTGGTTTCCAGAATATTGCTCCAAAACCCCTCTCTTCTCAGCAAGTTTCATCTGGAGCTGTAGTTCAGCAGCCGCAACAGCAACAGGCCCAGCAGAGTGTTGTAATTGTTAGTCAGCCAGCTCAACATGGACAAGCATATGCACCAGCCATACACCAAATTGTTCTCACTAATCCAGCTGCCATTCAAGCTGGGCAGACTGTTCAGTTAACTGGGCAACCAAGTATAGCACCATCCTCATCTCCTTTACCATCTCCAAATAACCAGCTCCCACCTATCATGACATCTTCCCCAACCACTCCAGTTTCACAAGGACCTCCTCCAACTGTTAGCCAAATGCTTTCTGTCAAAAGGCAACAGTTATCACCAGCACCTCACCAACAGCCCCAAACTCAACAACAGGCACAAGTGCAAACTCAGCAGACGCAGCCACCCCAGCCTGTACAAGTACAAATTCAGCAACAGCAAGCTCAGAATGCAAATGTTGGTCTTTCTACTCCTGGTGAGTCCAGCTTAATCAAACAGCTGTTGCTTCCAAAACGGGGACCTTCCACTCCAGGAGGAAAACTCATTCTCCCTGCTCCTCAAATACCGCCTCCCAACAATGCAAGAGCACCAAGTCCCCAGGTGGTGTATCAAGTAGCTAATAATCAAACGCCTTCATTTGGAGTACAAGGTCAGCCTGCTACTCAACAAATTCTTGTTGGGCAGCAGAATGTACAGTTAGTGCAGAGTACCATGCAGAACCAAACTGCTGTTCAGACTGTCCCCATTTCAAATTTGCAAATATTGCCAGGCCAGTTGATATCAAATTCCCCTGCAACAATTTTCCAAGGGACTACAGGCAATCAAGTGACAATAACAGTTGTGCCAAACACAAGTTTTGCTACTGCAACGGTAAGCCAGGGAAGTACACCTCAGATCATTGCACCAATGAGTGGGACACAAACAGGAGTTGGATTACAGGTACAAACTCTTTCTGCTGCTCTTACGCAACCGGGTGGGCCATTACCAGGATCTACCAATTCTCCCCCTTTTAGGGGTGATAAGATAATTTGCCAAAAGGAGGAAGAAGCAAAGGAAGCTACAGGCTTGCATGTTCATGAACGTAAAATTGAAGTTATGGAAAATCCTTCCTGTCCAAAAGGTTCTGCAAACACCAGCAATGGGGAAACTAATGAGAATGATGTGCAAGTAGGAAGTCTCTTAAATGGTAAAAAATGCGACTCCACTCTACCTCCTTCAAACTCAGGGAAAGCTCAGAATGAGGCCAGCCAGCTGGTCCCCAATGGGTCGTCTGTGGAATTGGGGGAAAATGGAGCATCCGCAAAGCTAAGTTCTGAGCAGGCAGATGCACAGGAAAGTAAAACAGACTTTAAACGACCACAAGTTAATGGGATTTGTGATTTTGAAAAGGAAGACTGTTCACATTTGAGCAAAAACATTCCAAATCACAAAACTTCCAACCACGTAGGAAATGGGGAAATATCTCCCGTCGAACAACAAGAACTTCTTGATTCTTCACAAGTTACTGCCAAAGGTGAACAAGTGGAAAGGCTATCCAATGGACCTGTAGCACCCATCAGTTTATCACATACTGCAAGCAGCAGTCGTGATGCTTCAAACCTTTCAAATCAAATACATTGTGGTAACCCCACAGATTTACCCAATGGACCTGTAGTTTCCACTTTGAATTCAGATGTGCCTCAGCAGCGTCCGTCTGTAGTTATTCCTGCTCAGTCTACAGTCCCCGTTTTACCAGGTCATCAAATTATAGCATTGCCTCATACAGGAACTAGAATTGTTCAGCCTACTCTACCTGCCGATGTACGGTCAACTAATGGAACAGCGGAATGCAAATCTGTTAAGCGACCAGCAGAGGACAGTGACAGGGAATCTGCCCCAGTCATTCCCAATAAAGTGGGAGTAAGGATTGTTACAATCAGTGACCCAAATAACGCTGGCTGTAGTGCAACAATGGTTGCTGTGCCAGCTGGCGTAGATCCAAGCACTGTAGCGAAAGTAGCAATAGAAAGTGCTGTTCACCAAAAACAGCAGCATCCACTCACGTTTGTACAAACAGTAGTTGCACAGGTAAGTCAACCTGTTTTAACATAACTTAACATAAGCAAACTTTGAAAAGAATTTTACAAAGAACAGATAATCGGAATGGTGGTTTAGCATTTAATCTACTAACCTTTGTTTATATTCCATAGCTTTATTATCCTACTATGCACCACTACCCTTTATTTGTCAATTTCTCAATTTTCTTGGATCTTCAGGAATTCCCCATGACCCTTTATGTGTCTGAAACATAGAAGAGGGAGGTAGAGTTTGCAGGTTTATTTGACCCAGAAGTGGCTTTTCATTTAAATGTGTTTTTTTTTTTTTTTTTTTTCCCCCTCTTTACGTGGGAAAGCAAATAAGACACTGCAGGAAATGTGCTTTTATGAGCTTCCCCAATCCACAAATCCATTCTTAGTGTTTTGTCTAGAAAGAAATTGTAATGATGTATATGGTAACCATAGAATTCTTGGCATGTAACAACTACTCTTTTAACTAATTTTTTTGGTAAAATGAGAGAGATTGGGTGACAGTCAGTAAGTATACATCAAACATGTTAAGACTCAATATTGCGCGCTCCTGTAAAATGGCGACAAACTCACTTAAAATGTTTTGTATGTGATGCCTTAAAATCCTTTGCAGATTTTCAGTATGGCGTTAAGCATTAGTTATTGCACCCACTCAGACGTTCACGGCGATACCTCACATGTGGAGTGCAATTGCTGTTTACATACTTGTGTAGGACCCACACATTTGCATGTATAAATATTGAAATCTATTTATGAAAATACTCTTGTACTTAGTTTCCAACCTTTGTTGACATGAGTTTTTTTTTCAAGCTCAAAAATCGCTGGTTAAAAAAACTCTGGCAATAGCGTTTTTAGTAGCGTCTAGGAATGTTAGCATTTTTACAGCACATGTAGAGGAAGAAAAACATAAAAAAGCTGTTAGAAGCGTTTAGCGTTTTTTTTTTTTTTTTTTCTACTGGAAAAACGCTCCAAAAAAACTCTACAAAAATCTTTTTTTTTTCTGCTCCTAAGTTAGTGTACATGGACACATAAGATAACTGTATTTAGCTTCTAGGAGCAGAAAAAATGTGCTGATAATAGCTTCTAGGAATTTAAAGTATGAGTTCACCTTTTTTTTTCCTTATAAATTCCAGCTACCCTATGTACCGATATAGCCTTAATCTTCTTTTGCAGAAATTCAGAAGCTTTCTGTCTTTTCTACCACCTTAATGTCCGTGTCCAGATGGCTGTAAAAAAATCTTCTTTATTACTTCTGCCTTACTTCCGGGAGAGACTTTAGGTCATGACACAGGAAGAAGTTGACCGGCTGACCTCATTAGCACACCCCCTGCATTATCTACCCCTCCTACCTACCACCCACTTCCAGGTGCACAACTATTAAATGAAATGCAATCAATCAAAGTGATCACTGTTCTCATTAAATACACTAAAGACATAGATTTTTTTTAATTTTCTCCTTTAACTTTTATCTTGTATAGATCATTCATTTGGCAAAGTGTGCTGAGTGAACAGATGACAGCCTATGTGAATAGATCAGTAGTATTAAAAACAGGCGAACTGTGTTCTGGGTTCTGTAACGTTCACATACACTATACAATCTGATTGTACAATCTCCTTTAGATCTACCATCAACTATATAGTGCAAGGGTCTGCCTAATTGGATATAGTGATTGGGTAGATAGGTGGGTCCTCCTATTCCATAGTTCTGGAAAATCTAAAGGAAATTGTACAATATGATTGCATGTGTGTGAGAACAGTGATCACGGATTTCTTTTCATTTAATAATTGTGCACCTGGAAATGGGTGGGAGGTAGGTGGGTAGATGATGCCGGGTGTTCTAATAAGGTCAGCTGGTCAAATCCTCCTTGTGTCATGACCTAAAGTCTCTCCCGAAAGTAAGGCAGAAGTAATAGAGACGCTTTATGGACAGCCATCTGGACACTGACATAAAGGTGGGTAGAAAAATGGAAAGATTTTGAATTCCTGCAAAAGAAGTAGATTAATTCTATATTGGTACATAGGGGAGCTGGAATTTTAGGGGGAAAAAAAATGAACAAAGGTGAACACATCCTTTAACCACTTGCCTACCGGGCACTTATACCCCCTTCTTTAGCAGGCCAATTTTAAAATTTCAGCGCTGTCGCACTTTGATTGACAGTTGCGCAGTCATGCAAGATTGTACCCATATGAAGTTTTTATCATTTTTTTCTCACAAATAGAGCTTTCTTTTGGTGGTATTTAATCGCCGCTGGGCGCTTTACTTTTTGCGCTATAAACAAAAAAAGTGCAAAAAATTAAAAAAAAAAAAAGTTTTTCTATTATAACATTTTTCAAACAGGTAATTTTTCTCCTTCACTGATGTGCGTTGATGAGGCAGCACTGATGGGCACTGATAGGCGGCACTAATGATGTGGCATGGATAGGCGGCACTGATAGGCAGCACTAATGAGGTGTCACGGATAGGTGGCACTGATGATGGGTACTGATAGACAGCACTGATAGGTGGCACTGACTGGCATCACTGCTGGGCACTGACTGGTGGCACTGCTAGGCATTGACTGGCGCAACTGCTGGGCACTGACTGGCAGCATTGATGGGCTGCACTGATGGGCACAGGTAAATGGCACTGGTGGGTACAGGTGGGTGGCACTGGTGGGTACAGGTAGGTGGCACTGCTGGGTGGCACAGGTGGGTGCACTGCTGGGCACAGGTGAGCGGAACTGGTGGGGGGCACTGCTGGGTGGCACTGCTGGGCACCGATAATCAATTTCTGTGCACCAAAATTTCAGATGGAATTGACAACATCATTTATTGCATCTCTCAGGCAAGGGCATTTCTGGCATCATGAGACATACAAGATGCCTATCTGCATTTCCCCGTTTTCCCCTTACATCAAGACTTTCCGCTTTTTGCTCTGGGACACCAACCGTTCCAATTTATAGCTTTACCATTATGGCTCTCCTCTACACCCTGAGTGTTTTATAGAAGTGTGTGCCCTGCTTCTGCCTCTTCTGCGGACTTGCTATTCATGCCACAGGTTACATGGAGGACCTCTTGGTGAAGGATGATAAACATCACCCGATTTGACCTCATGTGTCACCTTGGGATCTCAGTCTGGTGCTCTCTGCTTTTTGAAGACCCCTTTTTGAACAATTTAGCGACATTCTTTTGTAAGAACTTGCATGTAAAGTTGTCTTCCTACTGGTCATATCTGTTAGTCGTGTTTGAGTTGATATCCTATAACTACAAATAGCCTGATAGTAATAATTTACCGTGGATACTTTTGTGGGAACAACACAAGCGAAAAAGGAAAATGGGGATATGCTCCTCTACCCACGCATCTAACGCACTCGGGCCTAAAACATAACCTTTATTCTATTTTCAATAAAACATGTATGTATGTACGTACACACACTCTCTCTCTCTCTCTCTCTCTCTCTCTCTCTCTCTCTCTCTCTCTCTCTCTCTCTCTCACGTGAGTACGCCCCTCACATTTTTGTAAATATTTTATTCTATCTTTTCATGGGGCAACACTGAAGAAATGACACTTTTCTACAATGTAAAGTAGTAAGTGTACAGCTTGTAGAACAGTGTAAATTTGCTGTCCCCTCAAAATAACTCCACACACAGCCATTAATGTCTAAACTGCTGGCAACAAAAGTGAGTACACCCCTAAGTGAAAATGTCCAAATTGGGCCCAAAGTGTCAATATTTGGTGTGGCCACCATTATTTTCCAGCACTGCCTTAACCCTCTTGGGCATGGAGTTCACCAGAACTTCACAGGTTACCACTAGAGTCCTCTTCCACCAAAAGAAAGCTCTATTTGTGTGAAAGAAATGATAAAAATGTAACATGGGCACAGTGTTGCATGACCACGCAATTGTCATTCAAAGTGCGACAGCGCTGAAAGCTGAAAATTGGCCTGGGCAGGAAGGGGGTATAAGTGCCCGGTAGGCAAGTGGTTAAAGTCCAGAAAGTTTATGGTATCCCAGTGTACTTTGCTGGTAAAGTACTTACCAGTTGTATCCTCATTAAGATATTCTACAAACTGCTGAAAGGCCTCGCTATCTGCTTTCCATAGGATAAATACATTGTCGATAAATCTCATCCATAACAGTATTCTGGATGTGCATTGAAGCATGTTCTAGACAAATACAGTGGTCTCCTTTCACCAACCAGGCTATGCTAGTTTCTTTTCCTACTTGCTGTCCATAGATATTCCCATTAAACAGGAAGTAGTTATGTTTAAGGATACATTTCAAGAGCTTCAATGCAACTGTGTGTGGGCAAGAAGTACCTCTTCTCTCATGTTGGGAAAATACTCACAAGCTTGTATGCGCAAAGAGTGCTCTATACTTCTATATTGAGCTTCCACATCCAATTTGGCTAGAAATACATCTTCTAAAATTGTTAAATCTGACAATTTATCTTCAAATAACCTAGTGTCCTTTATATATGACAACACGTGCAGATAAACATAACTTGAAAAGCCCTTGTTTTCTTGTAGGCCTTTTGGTAGTTCTGTTTCTTGTGTTGTTGCCCACACTGCAGTTTATTGCTTGGGTATGTCCCATGGTGTATGACTACAAGGCCTTTGTCTTGTACTGTGCTCCACAATAACAAAATTTATATTGAATTCAAAATCCATATTCCACCCCCCAACCGACAGGTATTTTTTAAAATTTTATTTATAACTTTTAGGTTTTTCAGCAAGCGAGAGGGGAATCAAAAGTAAACAAAATGTACCGTAAGTCCACTTTAGGAACTTGTACAAAATTGTGCAGTGCATGCATTCACCCATTTTGGTGGATAACATAACACAAAGGCATATACTATAAAAAAAATTAGGTGGAAATAAATGGAATAACAAAAAATATTTATCATTTTTATAATAGGGGGTTGCCAGTGTTTTTCTTCACAAAACCTGCAAGTTCTTTATGGGTTCATAGATATTTAACATCCCCTTTTAAGTTACATTATGTAAATGAATTGTCCCTTAC